GGGAAGCAAACTTTATGGTACATCGTCTTCTTAAATAAAACTGTAATGACGCGTAGCCTTCAAGATGTTATATCCTACCGTTTAAAAGTTCTTCATGGAAGAGGATTTACATATATTTTTGTAATGGACAATTTATAAATAGATATTTAAAATTTTATATTTTTCAAACTAATATATGGAACTATAATAAAATAATTAGATTAATTTATATTAATTTACATTTACTTATAATTTATATATTATAGAATTTTATTAGGATTAATTATGTAACATTTATGTTGAAACATTCAAAGTATTTAAAAAAAGATTTCAGTGATTTGGAGCATAAAAGAATGGAATGAAAATATATTGAAGTAAGCTAACAGTTTTCTTGAATACGTGCAATTTACTATCAATAAAGTATTAGCAAACAAAACAATAGAATAAGTAGTTATTGTAACATAACATAAATTCCATTAACCGAACATTTTTATCTGAGTATTATTTCGGACAAGGGAAACTTTATTGTAAATATGTATATTTATAGCATATATAATATTTTAATATATACAGTATAATAGTTTAAGATGGTTTGTAGGTAGTATATAAATATAGTTTAGAATTATAATATATATAGTTATTTTAATTTATTCTTAGTTGCTATAATTTTAGCTTGTATACAATCTTTGAAAAAATAAAGAAATATTTTTCAAAGAAAAATATGAAATCTTGCTAGATTTGTAGTTATCTAATATCTTTCGAAAAATTTGTAATGTGACATTGCATGTAACGTAGTTAATTCTGTTAAGATATAAAGAAATTAATAAAAGAAATTAGCATGAATGTTTTCTTGGGCACAAATAATTATGACACAACGAAAAGATTCTGTTTCTAAATTGTATAATAGATGTAATGAAAATACATTTCATCGATACTTATTTCATTTCATCGTCTATTAATATAACTATTAAAATTTATATAACTTAATAAATAGTATAACAAAATGTTGGCTCAATAAAAAACTGAAATATTATTATTTTTGTCGTTTGTAATGTAAAATAATATAATATGTTACATATTTATTTACAAATTAATTGGAATTTGTCAGTCGATAATTTTTATACTATGAAATAATTTCAGCGTAAAAAATGTTAATGTCCAAAGAATTAAATAACGTTTGTGTTGATTGATAATTAGCTGTATCAACATAAACATTTATGTTATTTAAATAATAAATATTTATGTTGCATATATATGGGAGAATCTTGAATTGATTTATAAAGATATTTTTGTAATTTCTGTTTATTTCCATTTTATTGTTTTATATCATTATTTATATACTATTTATATTTTATACATATTTAATATACTTTCCAAAACTTTACAGCATCATAAATAAAAAGAATAAAATTTTCTTATAACAAACGACATTTATATTACAATTTTACATGATGTTAAAATATTATATCATGACACAATAAATGAAAGAATCTTCTTTTGCTAACACTTCATTTTCTATATTTAAAAATTAGAAACATGTTATTACAAATAAGGGAAAAATTATTTACGAATAACTGTAAATTCAAAAATATTTTTTATTTTTATTGCAATGCATCTAGTCCATTACTTATATTTCCATCTAGGTATATTTTTAACTTTCTAGTTATAAAACATTTATTAGCCTATTGTATTATTCATATAATAATAATAAACAGATTGTATCAGTACAATGATTGATAAAGATAACATGAATTAATGTTTTAACGAATTTAATGTTTTAATTTTTCGTAAATGTTTATTTTATAACGAATATAATTGATGATTAAGTTGAATTTGACACGAAAGAAATGTGTTCGAATAAAATAAGACGATGTTATAGGGATAATTTTATACATGTGCATATATTGAATGAAACATTTATACATGTGCATATATATCTATGAAATTAAATTCATAACATCTTGAAGATTTTTCTCTTTCATTTATTTTTATGATTTATTGTAATGATGCGGTGAATCGAAAGGGTCGATGTTTCTAGTGTAATTTAGTAATACACTCGGCCAAATCACTTCATTATCACCAACAACCGGTGATTGTTTAACCGTTCTGTGTGATCTTGTTCTTCGACTGTCAAGAAACTTCTTAATTCCCTCTTCAGATGATTGCGTTTCCTTTGCATTATTTTCGTCTTCGACTACACAATCTAATTGCGTTTGATTCTTCAAATTCGCATTCACTACAGATTCTCTATTTTGCGTGTAATTATTATTCGTTTCCTCTTCGTTGCCGGAAATTATCGAATTGTTCTCATTATCTTGTGCCTCGGTAACAGTAACAGTGACAGCCCCTTCATTTAAATCGAGCTTAGACAAATCCACGTTGAACCAAGTGACAGAGTCAAGCCTATTTGCATCTTGATCAGAATTTCCCGTAGAATCGAAAACGTTTTCGTCGTCCATATTAGCGAACGTATCTTCTAGTAATTGATTGGCGATGAAATCCGACATTGTGTTGACGTCCCATTCGACCAGCTCCTCGCTACTGATAGAAATTCTATCTTCTTGCTCGTTCTTAATATCATTACCATCTTTTTTGCCGTTTTTAATGTCGCCGATCGTCTTGAAATAAATGCTATGATCGTATCTATATGTTTCCAGGCAAGAGCTGTCCAGATTGCTGTTCGATTGGTAGTTGAAAGTCCCGCAGCAATTGATCTTCGTTTCCTCCGGCCGAGACTTTCGTCGTGATTTCTTCAAGGTGTGGAAACGTGGACTCCAGGAGCAATCGTCGATAATAAGCTTGTTCGAGGAAATACTCCAACGTGGCTCCTGTCCACCTTGCATAGTCATGCGACCTCTTGATAATCTTTGCGACCTCAGACGGTTGTAACCCCTTGCGTACGCGGCCCATCGCTCGATTCGCTGGAAGATGTACTCGGTTTCTTCACTCCACCATTCGGACAGGCCTTTCTGAATCATAACACTAACATCCTCGGTCATGATCACTGCTACGGAACCCTAACCGCTTGAAAGGATGATAATCGCGTGCACTACATGCGATTAGCCGAATGCGTGCAACGACGAACGATGCACGATGAATTTAGGTCAGAAGATAGGAAACAATTGAATTTCTAAAGAGACATTGGTCTGATTTATAGGATACCTAGGAAGCACTGCAAATACCGAAGCCATTCCAGAACTGTCATAATCCCTGACCATGACTTCGCACGGTGTTACGACAAATTTGGTTTTACGACGCTTCGCTGTCTGCGTGATACATTACGAATTCTCTTCATATTGGACGCGATCTCTGTAGTAAGCGAAAAAATATATACTCGATTGCGTGAGCTGACTTAAATAACAGGCGTTGCTGGATTAACACGGAGATGTAAACTGGTTACCATACTGGAACGTAAATCATTCCTTCTAGTGTTATATTCTTTTACGACGAGTGGAACTTTGATCAAAAATTGTGTAATAATTTCAGTTGATAATCGTTTCTTCGATAATTTTCCGGAGAATTTATATAATTTCACAACAACTTTATGAAATGGTTATTCGCTGTTGTTTTTATTTGTTATAAATTTAGTATATGCAGTATTAAACAATTAAATCTTGTATGACACATATTGAAAGTAAATTAAAAATATATTAACGATAAATAAAAAACTCGCAAATATTACAAGTTAGATAGAAACGTGTTATTGAATTATTTTATAAAAGAGTTTAAATAATAGAATAAATTAATAACAATGTATGGATTACTTTATCAAATAGATTATCTAGATTTTTGAAATATTTTCTCGAAATTGATTAATTTATTAATTTATATTATAATTTGATACATATATCACATATATTACATTAATAAAAAAGTAACAATATTAAAACTATTAATAATTATGTGATTAAGAAATTCGATTATAATACCAATTTAAATATTCGTTTAAGAAGAAAATTTTTAATATTTACTTTGTTTGTATCAAGTCGATGGAGTACTGTTTTTAAAATAATATTAGATTTTTAAACTTTCGTTTTAGAAAATATACGTTTATTTAAAATGTAATCAAAAATATTTTAATACGTAATTTATTGTACAATAATTTTGAACAATTTAAAACAGAATTCAAATATAGGTAATTAAATTTAATTAAACATGATATATGTATAATATACATATATCTTCTTATTATATCTTTATTTTATTGTACAGAATAATATGAATAAAACTCACTTGTGTTTTGTTAACATTTTTCACTAAATTTAAATTTAGTGAATTTAAAATGAACCTTTAAATTTAAATCCTAAATTAAAGTTCTTTCGAATTTGAAGCCCTAAATAAAAGTTCTTTTAAATTTAAAAATTTAAATTTAAAAGAAACTTTTTACACACAAAATTCAATAAAAATTGAACTTTCTTACTTTATTGATTATATATACGTACCTAATTATTTGTACAGTTATATATTTAATAAATAACCAATTATCTCAATGAAATCATGTTAATGTCGCGAATAATAAGTATGTACCTAGTTCTGAAATGCATCAGTCGAATTCAGTAAAGTAATTATACTAAATAAAACTTTCTACTGTTATTGACAGAAAACCGATTACCTCCTCGTAATTGTATTTCGTCTGACAATACTGCCTTGGCATACTTGATTTTAATTGTGCCTTATTGAATTTTAATCCAGGAAGAACTCTGACGTTTTTTAAAATATATAATCGCAGAGAGATTTTCAATTTCTAAAGAAAATTTATTTAAGATGAATTTAGAAAAACGGCGCAAAGAAATAGTTAGAACCACGATTGTTTATATACTTTTTATACACAATTATATAATTGATTTTTTTAATGACTTGTATGTTCATTTTTAATATTAATGTACAATTAAATTACAAAAATAACAATTTAAAATTATAGTAAGTTACTATAATGTTTCTAAATATAAAATTTATAACAATATTTTTGCATAATATAGTGTTTTTTATAAAATAGTTAAATTTTAATTTCGTTATTATAATGATAATTATATAGATTTTATCAATTAATTTTAGAAGATAAATTGATGTAAATATATAATTATAATATGCAAATATATAATTGTAATGTAACGATAATTTTTTGCTAATAAATAATTTAGAGAATTTTAATTATAGACATTTCAAACCTTTCTTGTTCAAAGTAAAGAAATTGTTATTTATTAATATATTATTCTATTATATGTTAAATATTTGTGTGATATAATTACATGATAGTATTGAATACTATTCCGATTACATAACATATTGGACTTTCAAAAATATCTGAGTTGATTAATGTTCGACTTATTATTATATAACGAATTAAATCCGGTTGATCAATAAGGAAAGAAGCGTCAAAATGAAAATGCTGAAGAAAAATTGCCCCATATTTTTATTATTCTTATTCTATATTTGTATCACCTGTTTATGTATATCATGTATATCTGATTTATACTTTATATTTATTGATTCTATATCTGTAACATCTGTTTATCTAAACGTGTTAAAATAAACTTAATAGAATAAATTTACAAAAAAATTTTTAAAACAGTAAATGTATCTTTTGGTAATTATACTGTTCAAATGTTATATTAATTGTTAAATTGTAGTTAATTAAATGATACATTAATTTGCTTATAAATCATACTCGTGAACAGATAAATAAACATCTTAAGAAATTGTTTAACTAATAATATTCAAGAGAATTATTACATATTTGTTAATATTTAAAATATGTTAGAGAAGAAGATCACGAGAATTAAAAATACAGGCAGTTGACATATAGAAACGTGATAAATTTACTGCAATTAGTAATATATTGTGTGATGCAAAATTCAAGTAATTTATTAAATTTTTAATAACATGGAAGTATTGTAAATGAAATAAAAGATTGTCCTGTTTTTATTCTTCCCTAATTTTATTTTTTTTCCTTTATGCTATTTATTGTTAACCAATTATTGATTTACAAAAAAATAATTGATAAACATGATTAATAATTCCATTAAATTTAAACATATAACAAGAGAAAAAAGAATGTATAATAAAATTTAGGTAATTTATACCAGAAGTTTCTTTATTCAACAGTTTAATTCTTAATCTTGTAAATTAATAATTTTGACTTTAATTAGTTTTGTACATTTTAATTTATAATAAAATATCTTTGGTCGATTTCAAAGAGATTTCCAAGAGATTTCATATAAATGAGATTTCAATGAAATCTCATATTGAATTTTGCTTATTATATTATATTTCAATAGAATCAAGCAAAAATTTACTGAATATTTCCTAATGTATAGATATAGTTATATAATCTTATCCATCAATAACATACAAATACAAATAATTTAATCTAGAAATTTAATTCTTTTCTAATTCCGTGTATAATTTATAAAAAGTAATTACATTTTCATAACAGCTGCTGTCATTTTATCATGAGTTAATTTGAATAAACAAAAATTGAATAAAATGTACGAAAACTCATTGAAACGGGCAGAAATAATTTACAACATTATGCAGAGCTTCTTGAATTAAGGTACTCCGTGCGTAGATGAAACAGCCACTATTATCTTACGGAGAAAAAAGCGAAGGTGATAAAACGGTAATACGATTATTCGAACTGCCAATCATCAGATACCATCGTGGAATATTGAATGTTCAATGGTAGGTGTCTACGCAAGCAAGCAACTTATTTATCAGACCACAGCTACGTGAATTAAAATTCAAAGAGCTCAACGCTCCCCCGGGATACTGGGGATGATGGGGCTCTTGTATAAAAAGCCACGTGCAAACGGTGAACCGTGCATTTGTTCGCCGATTTCTGATTCTCTATCATACAGGTGAATAGTCTTTGTGCAACTTTCCTTGCGATAACGTAAAGTCTTAACTCCGTGTCATTTTTCTCTCCAATGATATTTCTTGAAATTTCTTCGTTTTATACATAGAATATGTGTGTTTTTCTATCATGTGATAGTCCATTGTTACCTTGACAATTTCACTGTCCTGTGCATTGTATGTGATGCATATTCTTTCTTGCCACGACTCCAGAGCTGGGTATATTTTAAACAGTAAATAGTAAATAATTCTATATATTTTAAAGTATACAGAGGTGGACGAAAATATTCGATAAAAAATTGTCTAAATTTTAAACTGTTACGACTTCGTAAACATCGTACAACAATTCAGTCTCATTTTAAAGTGCCAAGTCTCTACTTTGACGAACCTATGTATTTTCTTGGAAGATTTTTTTCACGTCACGTAGCAAGTGAATAGTTTTGTTCTCGAAAATTGTAAAAAATTAAATGCCTCTGGAAACACTAAAAAATTTTCTCGCAACTAAATCTACCGTGGTCTTGAAGATTGAAGTCTCCTTCTTACAACGACTTTCAAAACTTGATGTACGATTTTTTTTTTTTGTCACTTTATTGAACTTTGAACTTTATTAGAGTTAAATGGCAAAATATTAGGATTTCTTGAATTTTTGTCGTGTTTAATTCTAATGTTCAAGATTCATAATAAAATGGCGAACAGAAATTGTACAACAAGTTTTAAAGGGTTGATGTAAAGGAAAGACTTCGAGATTATGATAGACCTAATCATGAAAAAAA